ACCAAACTGGGGTATTTCAACGTCCTCCCCCGCAACACTTTCCTCTTGGAGCTGGGCAACTACGTGAACACCTTTCCCGCCCTGGTGGCTGCCTGTCACGCGGAGGGCGTGCCGTCCTCCTTCTCGACCTCGTCCTCCCCCCCGCCCTCCACCAACGGGGGAACCTGGTCAACGCGAGCCCTCACACTTCTTCAACGATTGCGTGTGATGGTTTATGACCCCATCGTCATCCGCCTTGGTCCCCAAGGTCAGCATGGCACCGGTCTCAGGGGAAAACGAGGCGAGGAAGGGGAGAGCAGTCCGGCCGCAGAAAAGGCAGGGGGTGCACGTGATGACCCCAGGCGGGGAGGATTACGCAACTCACAGGAGGCCATGATGGAGGGGACCAAGGACGGTGAAAGGCGACATGGAGACGGGAACGAGGCAAGCGAGGAAAAGGCGCCTGCCCCCGCCACCTCGTCCTCCATCCCTTCCTCCCCCGCCACCTCGCCTCGCCCGGCCTTGCCTTCCTTCCCCTCGCCCACACCTACCCCCTGTTCACCCACCACCAGTCCCCCCTCCCCCCCCTCTCTCCCTCCCTCCCTCCGCCCCTTTCTCCCTCCCTCCCTTCGCCCGCGCCTTGGAAATGGCCCGGCAGCCCCTGAAAGTCGCCTTGGCCTACGTCCTGGTCACCCTGACCATGCTTATCCTCACCGGTCCCCGCACCCCCTGGGGACTGATCGCCGTCTGCCAGTCACTCTCCTCTCATCCGGGTAGCAGTTTCAAGGCCGGGCTCCAACGGATCCAAGGCACGGTATTGGGAGGTATGTTCGGGATCGTGGTTTTGAATTGGCTGCAATGGGACAGCAAGCTGGCAGTCGTGCTTTCCTTGACCGGGTGGGTGTTCTTCTGTGCCTTTAACCGCCTCTCCCCTCTCTACGGGGAAGTCGCGCTCATGGCGGCGGTCACTGCCCCCATCATCCTCATGGGGCCGATATTGGGCGAAGCTGGGGCGATGATACGGATCCAGCAGACGATTTTGGGTTCCTTTATTTATGTCTTTGTCGACAATGTCTTTTGGCCGGTCCGGGCCAAATTGGACCTTCGTCGGGAGCTGTTGACGTCCCTCGGGCTTTTTCGGGACCTGTGGGGACGGACGTTTTCCATCTTTCTCCAAAAGACCGACGATCCGGTCCACGCCATTCAAACTGCCCAAAGAGTGCACGCGGCCTTGACCGCGTCCTGTGCGATGCAGGAGACCTACATTACCTTGGCCGTGGACGAGCCAGAACTATGGCACAAACCTTTCCATGCGCAAGCCTACCGGAAAGTCGCCAAAGCCCTGGCACGGGTCTCCCTCTTCATGGCCATGCTGATTCGGGCTTCTCAGAATTTTCCTCTGGAAATTTCCGAACGGGACCGGGCCCTGCTCACGTCCATCCAAGAGGCGGTGCAAGAGCTGGAAAGAATGACAGCACATGCCCTCGACCAGGCCTGGGAGGCCGTGGCGCGAATGACTGAGCGGGAAGAATGGAGGGAGGAGGAGGAGGGGGAGGAATACGAAACGGAGACAGAGGGGCAAGGGCGGTGCTCGGCAGTGATGCCGCTAGGGGATGGAGGAGACTTGCCCCCGCCACAGCCAAGAGAGGGACGAGCCTCCAGCCATGGAGCCCAAAGGGAGAGCTCGGGCCATCGACCCACACGCTCTGTCGCCCTCCCGCCCGACACGGTTCCGGCCTTGGCCTTGCTGCAGTTGGGGGAGGCCTACGTGAAAATTCAGGACTGGGTGGACGGGTATTTCGAGGAACACATCAAAGGGAACTGGGCGAACGACCACCTCGTCCTGGTCTCGGCGGATTTGATCCTCTCTTTGAACGGGATGATCTTTGCGGTGGAAGCCTTGGGCCAGGGTCTGTTGGGGGTGGGACACGCCTTGAGAGAGTTGGTGGAACGGGAGAAAGGCAACTACTACATGCTGTAGAAATGCTGATCTTTGAAAGAAGAGGGTCTGCACATTTATAATGAAGCCTAGCGAGGCATGACACCAGATAGAGAGCTTGGATGGGCGCAGACACGGTGCCTGGGATGGGTGAGAGTGAAATTTATAAAGTGGAAAAGAAAATTTACCAACAATGTCTTCCTCATGATCGAATTCGCGGTGGCCTGGGAAGCACTGGTGCTTCCACTTTACTGTCCCTTTTACTGACTTTTCGTCGTGAAACAATTCTATACGGAATGACGGAGCATTTTTCATCGCTGTTACCTTGAATACATATCGCGCTGTATTCACATGCAAACGTGAAATATGCCAATAACCATGGCTTCCTGTAGTGCGACATGGAAGAGGTAGGAACACAGCCTTCAGGACGCCCCTCAGCTTCAATATGCACGCTTGCAATGCTTTCTGACTTTCTTCCCACATTTTTTTAAAAAATCATACCTCTCTGAGTGTCTCATTAGGTAGGTGTGCTAGTTTTCTTATTCAAGCATTGCGTGTGTAGAACTAATATGGGCCAGGCAACAAGGACTAGCACCACATACCTGTGAGCTGTGAGCTCTCTTGTTATACACCGTCCTTGAAATGGCGCAACCGTTTTTTTGCATGTACAAATATGATGCAATGTGACTTGGAAAAAGAAGCTGCGTGTCGTAGATATTTTGCGGTAGGTCGTAGTTGTACGTATGCCAAAATGATTCCTTCCACCTGCCGCCCTCTTCAAGAGTTTCTCAAACATGGGTCTGCACCAAGGGTGATATCTCCTTGAAAATCCCACTCTCGTAGTTTTATGTTTGTTATCTTTCCTTTTTCTACCCATAGCCGGGCCTATCTATCTATCTATCTATCGAATTACGTATGTTCTTATGTATTTTGCCATTCATCTAACCTCCTCCACAGAGCGCCTCGACCTTTCACATTTCCCGGCCGTACTTAGCCAATAGGATGGAAACGAAGCATGGCCTTTTTCGATTGACACCTTCTGTAAAGCTAATTGTCCTCCTTGTGAGCGTGTGGCACCTTTCTTTCAATTTCCCCTCTACGTGTCTGGCTTCTGCATTCTATCTCCACCCTACCCTCCCCACCGCCTTCATCCGCTGTCCAAGCATTCCATCGTTCAACACGTCGCCTAGGCCCAAATGCTTCCCTTTCGTACTCTGTTTCTCCTCGACCTCTTCATCACCTCCCCCTCCCTCCGTCTTCTCACCCCCCATCGTCATCCCCGACGCGCAACCCCTCTACCCCTTGAGCGCCTTCGCCCTCCCTCACCATTTTCTGGCTGCAGGGGAACTCGAGGCCGTGCTGTTGCCGTCCGGGCTCATCGAAGATCGGATCGATAAGATGGCGCAAGACCTCCTCGACGACCTTTTTCCCGCGCCATTTCCACCTCCGGGAGGATTGCTTCCCGTGTGCGAGCTCCACCTCCTGTGCGTACTCAAAGGCGCCAGCCGTTTCTTCCACGCCCTCCTGGCCAGCCTGCGTCGTCGAGCCCAGGCCCAACGGTTGCCGTTACAGATTCAAATTGAATTCATCACGGTCCGGAGCTACTCGGGGATGCAGAGCACGGGCACGGTGGACGTGAGCGGGTGTGTCCTCGGCAACCTCCAGGGCCGGAACGTGGTGCTGGTGGAGGACATGATCGACACGGTACCTGCCCTCCCTCCCTCCCTCCCTCCCTTTCTTTCTATCTTCTTTTTTCTTCGCCCCGGTCTCAACACTGATTGGGACTCCCCTCTACCCTCTCTCTCCTCTTTCCTCCTCCCCTGCCTTCCTCCCTCCTCCCCTCTTTCCCGCCCTCCCTTCCTCCCTCCTCAAGGGCAACACCTTGCGGAAACTCGCGCCCCTCCTTCACACCCATCGTCCGTCCTCCCTCCGAATTCTCTCCCTTTTCCAAAAGCGGCTTTCTTCTTCCTCTTCCTCCTCCTCCTCTGTATCTTCCTCCTCTTCCTCCTCCTCCCCCTCTTCCTCCTCCTCCTCCTCCTCCTCCTCTCAAGGAGGGAATGCGATCGAGACAATTCCTAATTTGTGCGGGGTGGGTTTCTCACTGCCAGACAAGGTAGGAGGGAGGGAAGGAGGGAGGGAGGGAGGGAGGAAGCGAAAGAGGGAGGGGCGAGGGGCAAAAGAAGAAATGGAGGAGGGCAAAAGGGGGGCTTAAAAATGAGCGCAGAGTTAGGCAGGGGGGGGTAATTTTACATGAATATTTCCACGTGAGGGGAGGATGCGCTGAGACAGCCCTCCCTCTCTCCCTCCCTCCCTCCCTACCCCCCTCTTTTCGCCTTGTCCCTCCTTCCCATGTTCAGTTTGCCGTGGGGTATGGGATGGACCTGGATGAGCATTACAGGGACTTGGAGCATCTCTGTCTCCTGAGCTCACACGGCATTCGAAAACATTTGGGAGGACGATAGCCGGCCCTCCCTCCCATCCTCCCTTCCTCTTTTGCCTTCGGTAAATGTCTGGAGGAACGTTTACAAAAAAAGAGGTATTGGAGTGAGGCGGTATTGAAATTTGTGAATCATATTTGGGTACAGGTAGAACCAAAATGTTGACCATCTCGATATATAGCGGAGCGAGGTAAATAATCCCGAAGGATTCCCCGGAAACAACAAATCCTCCCCCAAAAAAATGTCGGAAGGCACGATCCACACAAGTGCATACGGCTCGAGCGTTCGGGGGGAGAGGTCTCTCCTTCACAAATCGACGCCAGCTCTTGCTTTGGGGCACACGCATGCTTTGCTTGCACTCTTTCCTTTTTTTGACTTCTTTGTGTGCCGTCATCGCACACAAACGCTCCATTCCGAGCTATCCTTTTGATTTTTCTTCTTCAACGAT